GGTTGAGCCGGAGGTTGGAAAAACCCAACAACCCGAACGCGGCTTCAGCGGAGTTTGGTTCAGCGAAGGTCGCTAGAGCGCGATGTGCTGCCCCTGCTCCTGCCCCTGCGGGGTCTCCCCCTGCCCTGCCCGTCGCTCCGTGAGCACAAACCGCCCGCGGTTGCTCAGGGGACCCCTTGGCTCTGGGTGCGCTGGGGCTGGATGGAAATGTCAGCTCGGAAACACCTCCTCGCCTGTGGGGGCTGCTCTGCTGGTGAAGTCGTGTGTTCAGAGGGACCTGGAGAGCTGGCGTGGTGTAATTTTGGAGGGCATTCCAGCTGGGGAGTCACATCCTGTCAGTGGGAGCAGCAGATCCTCCTGTGCAGATCGGGCAGGAGCAGTGTGAGTAAGGGAGGAACTGGAACCTGCCCTGCAACCCCTGGGGGGACTTCATATTTTGTCCTGTGCTTCCTTTCCCACTTAATACTGATTTTGAGGCATGTTGTGATCCTTGTTTTCCTTAGAAAGGAGTGGAGTGGGACAGGGAGGAAGTCGGGTGTGAATGTCTGAATTCTAGAAGGCAAAACAAGCGAATTAACTGTTAATTGTGATGATTAAGGTGCCTTTCTGTAGCTTGCTGCTCTGAACTGCCTCACTTTCCTGAAGCCAAAGGGTTAATGTTATGCCCATGCCTCCCCAAAATCCTGGTTTAATGAGCTATTATAATGATTTGAAGAGCTGAACTTGAGGCTTGTTGCTGCAATAAATGAACTTGGAGCAGGGGCTGTGTTTCCATGTGGGAGACTTAGTCACCTCAGTGTGACCTCTAAAAACTGCAGAGAGCTCCACTGAACAGCATGAAAAATGGAGCTATTAAGGTTTGTTTTCAGCCCTGCTCAAAAAAAAAAACCAAAACACCCTGAAACTAGTAACCCTGTGCTAACAACCTGTGCTGTCTTGGAGGTAGGGAATTTTTGGAAATGCATTTCACACCTGCCTTTGATTGACCATGTAGGTTGCAGGTGGTGTTGGCAGAGCAGAACTTGCCTCTGGGTTGCAAATCACTTATCTCTTGGCTGTCTGATCTGGTCTTTGGAGGCATGAGGTGCTCAGTGTGGAACACATCCCCCTGGTGCTTCCAGGGTGCTTGTTTTGATATGTTTGCAGAGCTTCTCCTGGTCATGGTACTTCCTGGAAGTGCAGCATTCCATTTGTGTGTCAAACCAGTGCCCAGATCAACACTGCCAGGAGCTGCCAGTGACTCCTGGGTGGGTGGGTTGCCTCACTCATGCAGAGCAGGCTTTTGTGTAATCAGACAAAGTAATTACCCACTGCACTAATGAGCTTCGTGGAGGTGTGAGATCTCATTCCTGAGGGCAGCACAGGGAGTTCATGGCCACAGGAGACAGACTCTGGCTGTGCCTGCAGAGCTCCCCAGCCAGGTGTGTCTGCCCAGGGGCTGGTGCAGCCAGGGCAGCCTGTTGGGCTGTGGGTTGGTGACTGTGGCTGCCCTGGTGCTCTCCCAGCAGGGCCCTGCTCCTGGTCTGCAGGGAGGGCAAGGAAGGCCTGATTTTGGTCCTGTTGCCTGCTGGAGGGAGCTGCTACCTCCTGCCTGGGCTGTGGGAACCAGCCCCAGGTGTGCTTGTGCAAAGAGCACATTTGATTTGAGATACAGCTGCTTAATGACTGCAGCTCTGTGCTAACGAGGGGCCAGGCATTTCCCAGCTCCTGATGGATTCCTTCAGCACTTCCAGGGCTGCCTGGAAGACTTGCTGCTTTTACCTACATCTGATTGTTGCCCAGTTTTTACCTTCCTGGCTGTGCTAGGTGAGGTGCAGTTCTGTGAACAGTTGTTTGCCAGGGTCTGAAATCCAATCACCAGCCCCTGGTTGGTGGTGGCAGGAAGAAAGCTCAGAGTGGTTTTTGCTTCTTCAACAACAAACACTGGGGTGGTCAGATGTTCTTGTTTTGGAGGAAGTTGGGTGAGGTCTCTTGCCTCCTTCCTCTTTGCTCGTGTGGTTTCTTGTGTGTAGGACAGTGTGACAAGCAGGCTGTTTGGAGTACATGT